CCCCAATACTTACACTTCGATGATGTGTATGAGCAGAAATCACAACATGGTACTGGTCAAGCACGTGGTATCACAGAAAAGCATAAGAAACTTCATAATACTCGGGTAAACAGAAATGAGATTTTGGGATGTGGAAGGGTTATTGGGAGGACTCCTCTTCTTTTAACAATTTGGACGTGCTTGGACTATGGCCCTAAGTTGTAAGAATGACCTTCATTTTCTTAGAGTAAACTAGGGACATTTATAGGACAAAACTCTTCCTTAAATTATGTGAATTGTGAATAGAAGATAACAACTATTGGTTTATTGGTCTTATGTTTCAAAGTATTTCATATATAATACATCATGTTGAAAAATAAAAAAAAAAATTTTCAAGGTCTTAGATCTGTGCAACCACACTATTTACTGAATATCCAATAATGGATCCCAGTGCTTATCTAAAGACGCCAGTGTTATAATGAACCAATCTTCATCGTTATTGTGTCTTTTTCAGTAAAAGAGGACGACTATTCTTATAGTTGGATTAACTAAATTAGACACAGTGAACCTAACTTGCATGTATATGTTTGAGAGCATTTGAATTGTGGAGTGGCATGTGTGTTTGAGCTGTATATTTTCCTTCTTTTAGTTTTTTTTTGAAACATCTTTGATACACACCACTTGTTGAGAGATGTATTACATGTGTCCTTTTGGAGCCCACGGTGTTTCATACTGATGTATAACCAAAATTTAGGTGGTTTTTGGTAGTGTTTGTGAAGTAATTTCTGTTGGACAAGAAACTTGGTATCGGTCCAGTTCGTCACTGAATGGAAGCAAAGAGCCGACAACGAAATTCTCGAACGTTGCCGGCGGTACACCATTTCTTCCTTTTTGGATTATGTATGTGGTTTTTTCATTGGATCCTCACGTGTTCATGACCTAGTTTTAAACTTTAAGTGGATCGCTATTTACTTGTCCTTTCATGTTTTCTAAGAGCCGGGAGACTGTGAACTTACTTGATCTTGCTTTTTGTTTGCTTGTTGAGGATAAGACTGAATATTTTGAGTGGCTTAATGGAATAGGAGGATACCAATCTAGTTTGTTGATGTTCTCTTTTGGCTTACAAAAGAGCAAGTTGCTTATGGACTTTATCTTTACTCTGTCTGGTAACATGTAATTTATTATGAATAGAAGAAAGAAGTTGTCACTCGGTGAATATAGGTTTAGTCCCTAATAATTTATATAGATCCTTTATTTCAAATTTCAATCTATATTTTTAATGGTGAGGGATTAATATGATTTATTTTCATTTTGTTACGCAAATTCTCATGTAGTCAATAAACCTTGACGCATGGTGTGGTTTAAATTTGATAGATATTAGTTATAACTTGCATCCCTACTTGTGAAGAAAAGACTTCCTCTGTTCATTTTCTAATGTAGCAAAGTATCTCTTCAACATTTCGCTATTGAACATAACATTTCTTTACTGCAGGCTCAAGGATTTGTGACAGTCGATGAAGTATAGAGACGGTTATCTTGGAGTTCTGGCGCGAGCCATTAGATGCCCTCGATACATTACTTGTGTAACAATAACCAAAAATTATCCAAGAAAAATCTTTTCCTTTTTCTTAACTTATTACATACACTCCAATTTCAAATCATATACAATAACGAAAGCACTGTTGGCTGAATGCCGGAGGACTTGCCATGATTGATGACGGCCATAGAGATGGTAGACGGAGGTACTGGTTTCCTTGTGTGTCTCCTATCTCATCTTCAACAGCAGTTGATACCTAATAAATTTAGAGGAAAGGAAACTTTGGTCTGATTTTTAAAGGCCCGTGTATGTTTAGATTGTTTCAAAATTGGATTTATCATTGTTTTTTCTTTCTCGAATTCTGTCCTAAAATCTGATTAGTTGTTTGTATGTTAATCTAGTATATACACTTGTATGTATGGTACTTGTTGAACTGGAATATATACTAAATTTTCTGTAATGGTGCTTGCATAAAAGCAGTACAATTATTTGGACTTTGTTCAGTTTCTTTCCCCATTTTTTCCACTTATTAAAATCATGGAAGCATTGATCACGTGCATACTTATATCCAGTTACAGCACAAGAATTTATGACCCACTTTTGCTTAGAATGTCTGGTTTGCAAACCAGTATGATTAATTTGTTTAATATGTTTTTCGTTTATTCCATGACAAATAACTTCATGATGTTGTAAAGCATTGCAAATTGAAGCTAATATGTTTTAAATGCCAATAAGGTTCGCCATTTAATATTTGATTCCAAGATGTAAATAACGATATAATAGAATCGAGAGATGTTGGTTTTTTATATCTCTCACTTAAATATAATAAAAAATTTATTTGATATTATTGCGGTAGTTAAATGATTTAATTTTACTACCTCTATTCAAAATTAGTTTCTGTTTATATCTAAATCCTTTTACTCGAACTTGATCATCATAAAAAAAAAAAAAAAACACCAGAGTAAACAGATTTTTGAATACATTGTATTGTCATCAGTTTCTGTACTTTTAATACAATTTTTTGAAATAAAACAAAAGTGAACAATCAGCTTCTATAATAGAAGTAAGAAACATCAAAATATTCTCAATGACAATACAAATTTATACTTAACACCATTCGGGTGGCTCAACCTGCCACCAAGATCACATGTTAACACATGACAAAGTACAACAGAAACATCCCATTGTTTCATATATTTAACCTCTCAAAAACTAATAATTTGATATAGAGTAAATTACATGAGCCAAAGCTACCCTTCACACACATGTGTGCAATAAAATCTTTAGAAATTAATGGAGAAGAGAATAAACATCATTGGGTTTGGATTTGAGAAGAGGTCTCAATCTCCTCAATCCACTCAGGGGCAGGTTCAGTCCATGACCTAGGCCTAACCCCAGTTTTAAAATACAGTACCATTTCCATGGCTTCAAAGACCTTATGCTTGTCCAAAAAATCATTCCACACTCCACTCACTATACAGTAATTGTTGTTATACGGTGGCCGGTGGTGTGCAGCATGCTGTGACCGCGTTTGGGGACCACTTAAGCCCGCCCATTCTCTTGCAACGCCCACCACGAGGCGGCGGAAGCCGGCTCTTCGTGCCATGTGCCCAAGCATGAAACTGTTGGCTAAACATGATGCAGCCAGAACACACTCCAACAAATCCTTGAACAATGGGGTCATGACAAAATATAGCTATAGGAAGCACAGTGAAGTCACTGCACGTGCCAATGCAATGCAATTTGTTAGCAAATTCACGTCTGGTAATAGTCCCAAGGCCACCTGTGATGACCTTGGAAGGCTTCAATCTGAGCTCCAACAACTGGGGTTGAGCCATCACCATAATTGTCAATAGCCCAATGGTAAACCCCAGATCCAAGATCAGCTAAAATGTAACCAACCCAACTTGCTATAATCGGTTCAACCCACATGTTTGAATCATTGCACCCTTTATAGACTCTCCCAAGGAATGAGCAAAGTTGTGCACCCAACTGTCACCCATGCTCTGTGAGACCATGTTGATTGCAAATCAGTGTCTTTGTTAATTGGACGATGTTCATCAATGGTGGTAATGACCCTTGGTACCACAGGCACGAGTCTAGGCTCAATGACCAATGGCTTAACATTGGATTTTTGGTGTAGAGTGGTGGAACAACACAGGCCCCCCTCGCAATTGTGAAAGGGTGATCTGATTCTTGGGCAAACTTTATGGTGCAAGTTTGGTGTATGCTTGTGTTGAGGTAAGGAATACATTGGAAGTGTTGAGGAATGAAGAAGAATCAAATTTGTTGAGTGGGAAAGAGCAAGATATAACAAATTTGGAGGTAGTCAATAGTGGTTGTGGGAAGAAAAATGCTGATTTTGTGGAAGTAGGAGAAGGCTAAATGATGTGGTGGGAAAGAAGGATTCGTGTGTTGTTCATTCTCATATGAAACTTAACATCAAAGTTGTGTCACATATTTGACCATGGATTTCGTCCCTTATTAGGTTTCAGGTGAGCCCAAAAAGCTTGGTAGAGCAATTTCCAATGCTTTGGACTAAAAGAATTACTATTTTTTGGTGGTCCATTTATTTGATTAGATTGTGTGGTTGGGTGACTCACACAAGTGGAAAATTTGAAGTGTGTGGAACATTACTTGTACACCTTTTGTCCACTCACACGAAACTTTCTTTTGAGGATAACTTAGAAATAAAGATAGATATGTGAGGATGGGTTTCTTCCACGAAGGTAAAATTTGTAGAAGGTCGCTCTTGTATAAATAGTCAGTGCAAAATTCATACACTGCTTGGTTTCAAATTGTGAATGTTTGAATGAGTTTTAACATGATTATTTTAAAATAAAATAAAAGGAAAAAGAATAACTTCATTTTTAATGAACATGTAGAAATTCTCGAGTGCCATATATTTTTTCTAAAATTTTTATTTTTAACAGAAAATAAATTATTTTAACGGATAAAAAAATCATCTTATTTTTTTTTAAAATACTTATAGAGATAAGATATCTAAACAAATCTAAGTGCAATTCATACATTACAACACTCTTTATTAGTCTTAGTTTGTTCAACATTTTGATTCTGAGTCACTTACATAAATCAATCATGATTTCATATTCATAAAATTATTATAAATGACTTTAAATAAGTACACATATTTTTTTTTTCTTGTTGAATATGTGATTTTATTCTTAAAATTTCCATCCAAACATTTGCTTTAATTTTTCAAACAATTTAAGTTCTATAAATATATAAAAAAATAAAATTTACATTATATATACATTTTTATAATTTATTCTATGAGACAATTCCAGTATGCAAATCATATATATATATATATATATATAATAAAATGATTTATAAATCTAGGCTTTGTAGTCTATTAGTAAAATAAGAAATTCTTATGGAACAAAATTATCTAATAAAAAAAAATATAAAACTACGACATTAAAAACATTAAAGATGATATAATGTTCATAAGTAACTAGACAAAGAAAGTATACAACTCGAGTATTACACGGTTAGTAATTACTCAGTTCTCTTTTCGTTTTCCTCTTTTTTTTTCCTATCTGTTTTCACTTTAAGATCGACACTCCTTTTGAAATAGCTCTGTAGATAAATGTATACTTCATGACGTAGTACCTATATCTTTTTCTTCAGCTAATAATGTTCAATCAAAGATATTAACGGTTTTGAATTTGTTTTTCTATAGGCAATCAAATATATACATAATTATATTTTTTTAATTGGTAAAAGGTACCAACTCATATACAAAAATGTAAAAGAAAAAAGAAAAAAGAAAAAGGAAAAAAAAATTCCATCAAACATAACCGTAACAAAAAGCTGCTGCTTCTGAAGGTACATTCCAATGTTACTATCCCAAAGTGAAAATAATGTACAATCTATTGGCAGAGAAGTTTTATCTTGAAAGACATCTTTTTCTCTTTCAACTAGACCAAATGCCTGCAAACAACCAAAGTTCTTGTTCCAAGGACTTAACTTAATATTCTCCTCCCAATGTTGAAAATTTTGAATGGGATTAAATGGAAGATAGTATTCCAATCCACCCAACTATTACCTATAAACACAACTTAAGGATTTTATACATGCAAAGAGTAGACCTTTCGAAGTTGCGGCAGAAAGCTTAATGGATTAAACTCAAAATTTGATAATCAAACAATGTAACAATAATATAGAAACAGAACAATAGCGGTTCCAAAATTTATTTAACACACAATCAAAATTATATAGAATTATATCTCTTAAATAACTCAATATATAAGATAAAGGTTTAATATTTTCTAAGTTTTGCAAAAACGTATTAAATAGGTAATTCTATTATTCATTATCTTAATTAGGTTCCTATTAGTATAAAATTGATTTAATTGTACCCTTGTCGTCAATTTTAATAAACGACATTAAAAGATCAATCACATGGTATGCTGACTTTGCAAATCTTAAGCATGTGACACATTCAGGGTATTAGTGACGTGAGTTTTGTAATTTTGAAATGAAAAAAAGTGGAATTTCATTAAATCCCTAATTTGTGAAAATCCCTAATTAAAACGGGTGCCTGAGTTGTTCGAAATTGTTCTTCTGCATGGGTGCTTAGGTTGTGAAAATCCCTTTCTCACCAGAAAATTAGGGTTTTTGAATTGGGGAAAACTTGCTCCTGTGCATTTTCTTTCTTCGCGATTGCTAACGCAAATAAGGTTTCACCCCTTTCATCTACGACGACACATGGTAGCGCAATGGTGTTCGTGTTCTGATGATGGCTTTCCCTATTGCGTGAAATTATAGGTTCATGGCTCTAAGAAATTGCAGGTTTGACTCGCGGAGAAAATAAACTTGCGAACTAGGTTGTGTTTTCTGATTGCAGGTTTTGAATCGGATTTTGGTGCTTGAAGATGATGGAGGACATGAATCTAGTTCGTGAGACACGATTAGGGTTCACGACGATGATGGTTTGGGTTTGATGTTTCTGGTTGGGGATTTTTCTTGGTATGTAGGTGAAGACACAAAGATGACGATTTGTGGTTGGAGGTGTGGTTGCTTGCGCGATTCTCACGATTTGGTGAAGGTTGGGCGAATCGCAATGGTGCTCTACGATGACTTGCGACGACTTTGCGATTTGGGTGGCGGCATGAGCATGTACGAGTCTTAATCGGAGCAAATCGTGTTTCCTTTAATCACATCGTCAATCTGCTTCCTTCAACAAAACCATAATCTTGTTGTCGAAAAACTAATTTGATTAAATGAACCCCAATTTGGAACAAAAAGAAATAATCCACTCAAACCCTACTTTCATTACTTGATTTTGTGCAAAAAAATCCCTAAATAATCCCTAATTTAGGATAACATGTTTTATTTTAATTAAATTTTAGTTTTTAAAACTTAAAATAACTAAATTCCACGTAATGCGACCAAACTCTAGCACATGGTTAAGATTTGCAAAGTCAGCATGCCACGTCACTACAATCTTAACGCCATTTACTGAAATTGATGACAATGGTGTAATTGAATCAATTTTACATGAATATGGATCTAATTAAGATAACAAATAATAGAAGGACCTATTTGAGACGATTCTGCATAAAAAGAGACCTCGAAAATGATTAAACCTAAAATAAAAAATACATCAAAATAATATTTTGTTAAAATCAAAGTGAGCTGATCAAATATTCCATTCTTGTAATTGTTAAATATGACATAATGAAGAGGTAAGAAAAGAGAGGTTAAGCAAAAAACTAAATAATGAGAGGAAAAACGCTTAAGAGAAAATCAGAAAGTCCCATGCCATATAATGCAAATTCTCCATCACGTAATCATGCCATTTAGCACTCTCTTTCTTGATGCAACAACTTTTATGTTGTTGTTAAGACATCGACAAGTGTACCGAATCGTATCAAGTAATATAAAATGGTAAGACCAAGTATCGTATCCCAAAAGACTCACGACACTAGACAATCATGTAATACCTTAACTAATTAAGACTTAAGAACAATTTCATTGGTTTAGAATGTAAAAATGTAGAAAAAGTAAATATGAATGCAATTTGATCAATTGGGCAAAACACAAAAGTGAATGAATGATTTTGATAATATGAGATGAGTATGTTGTTGGGGTTTAGATTTCACAATCCTTACTCTCATGCATATAAGAACTCATCTTCTTCATTCATTTGTTAATGTCACTATCTAAATTACTTAAAACCCGATCCTTCGACGAAGAAAGCCTATCCTTAATTATCAGACCACAATCCCTTGCATCCCTAATAATTAATTTTGCATTATGAACAAAAGTTTAAGACAACCAAACCTCTTATCCCCATCCCTGG